TATCATAATCCATCATTATTATCATCATCGTAATTGTTATCATAATCCATCATTATTATCATTGGCATCATTTGATGATTTTTTAATGGTTATTTAGATACCGAACAACCAAAGACATAAGTTTGCCATTCCGTGTAATTCCTCTGGTGAGAGAAGTCGGGCGCTCAAGAATGGAGGTCAAAGTTGTGTTGAAGTCCAACTTCAAGCCTTCGATATTAGGCCAAAAAATTGAGGTAATCGAGGATTTGCTCATAATACGTTTAATCCGTACAAACTTGTCCTATTTCCCGCCTTTATAGATATAAATTTGAGAACAGAACATTACACGGGCGTTTGGAGATACGAATTTCGCTCACATGAGATATCAATTGAACACTCTAAGATAAAATCCGCGCGAAGATACGGATTTTATCTCCGTGCGCCCGTGTGATATCCTCTGTATATGAATGCATTATTAATACATTATAATTTTCTTTGTTATCCATCAGGTACGAATTCCTACACCACCCACCACGGCAGGAGTACAAGTAGTTTGTTTGAAGGGAAAAGCAAAGTATAAGTCCAGTGAGAATGCCATTGTTTGGAAGTAAGTACTAAAATAAACTTAACTTAACTTATAAACCCAGGGTTTCTGTAAGGAGAGAGTCGATCCTTGGAGGCGTAGCGACAGAAAAGCATGATGGGAGTTTTGGTCCTCTCACCAAAAAGTCGTAATCAAAGCCGTTTTTACGTTTTCTTCGTGTCAACGGCAAGGAAAAAGACAGAAAACAAAGACAAACAAACAAAAACAGTTTAAGAGGACCGTTTTAGCGGCCATGAAAAAATGCGAGATCTTTAACTAACACGTTATGCTTTGTATAATGCTTTGTTGCCAGAAAATGGCGTCTTTTCAAATTGCCTATAACTTTGTCTGTGTTAATAGTCTATATATTAACAGCTGTTTACTTCAATTCTAGGATTAAGAGGATGGGAGGGATGAAAGAATCCCAAATCAGTGCTGAAATAGAGCTCATGCCTACCAAAGACTCCAAGAAATGGGCACGGCCTCCTATATCCCTTAACTTTGAGGTAAGCTGTCTGATTGGTTCTTTCTAATAATGACGTTATGGTCATTTCGGCGAAGTGCATTATGGTAATGATAAAACTATCAAGATGGCGGGTGTACTCTAAAAACTACTAAGAATGAAGTAACGACTTTTTATATCCGTTATCGAAAAAAAAAAACATTTTTTATTAAGCCAACACACTAGAGTTACTCAAAGCATCGTTTGGGAAAATAGTAATCTTTGTTCGTAAAACTGCATCGCAAAACGTCATTGAAAGGGGACTATTCCAATTTTTGTGCCAGAATTTTACGATTATAATTGAGACTTGTGCGTTTCTCACGCAYTGTTTGTATAACTTCAATCCAGCGCATTGATGTACTCGGAACTGGTGAAATCTAAAGTCGCCGGCGATAGTTATCATTATCATTGCCATGAATATCATTATTGATTCCATTATAATATGAATGTTTATTTTTTTGGGTTTTATCAGGTTCCCTTTGCGTGTTCTGGACTAAAAGTTCGTTATCTTAAAGTCTTCGAGCCGAAGTTAAACTACAGCGACCACGACACTATCAAATGGGTGCGATACATATCAAGAAGTGGACTCTACGAAACGCGATGCTGATTGGCTCATTGCATGTGAAATCACGTGATCAGTGACGTCATTGTTCAATGACGTCACACGTAAATTTTCTTTTAACCAAACCGGTGGATAAACGTCGGAAGATAGTAAAAGTCTAGTAAAGGTAGCTATAGTTGCGTTTTGATGCGTTTACGTAAGAAATTATTTTCGTTTACGCCAGATTCATCCGTCTTTGCGTAATCTGTCATTACGCTACGAAATCGTATATTTGTATCTATGAAACTGCATTGTTGTGAACTCGCCACGTTAAGCCTGACGCGCGTAATTGTGCGTTTTAACGAGCGAATTCTTGCGTCAAAACGCGTAACGATGCGTTGGTATCTCGGGTTTAATATCTGTAATGATTGATAAAGAATGTAGTAATAAATCTTTTTGCTAAAATGTGTTGCTTTTTGCGTTTTGATCATTTGTTCTTTCATTTTTTTGTGGAAGTATTAGAGTGAAGTCACTATAGATCTGGACGTCTCTGTTTTTGAGATTGGCACGTGAGATTGGGCTTTTGGAACGAGCTGAAGGTTATTTGTTTCACAGGTTCGGCATTTTCACGGGTTTAGTGCTTTCATAGGTTGAATACCTTCACGGGTTTAGTGTCTTCACGTGTATAAGTGCTTCACGGGTTAGGTGCCTTGTTAAGGCGTCCTTACTTTACATCCCGTGTATGTTAAAAAGTAATTCTACCACACCGTTGGTGTCATATTTGTTGAATATTATTCTGTTTGGTCCTTAGGGCCGACGTTGTCATCAATTATTACCGCCACTATCTCTTCTATCGAGTACTCTTACAAGCTAGCGAGACCTCCCACGTTGGACGGTCATGCGAGATGAGAACTCCGATCTGTTCTGTGCAATCGCGACTCGTCAACGAAATCTCATAGAAAATTGATTTAGAGCAAGTTACTAACGGCTTATGGAGTAAATGTTGCAATTTGGGAATTAGGGTGGAATTGGATGAAATCTGGGAAAGAGAAAAATGTGGGATGTTTTGTTTTGTTTTGGTGTGAGGATTAATTGTTATATGAAGTATTCATTTCATGTTAATAGGTTTTTAGAGATCCAAGGGTTTCTAATGTTTTGAGGTT